CAGTGCTGCGCTACTCTACCTAGCACCGGGTTCAGTTACATGGCTTACAACTGGCGCTGCGAAGTGGATTTTCACCATGGAAATTGGCACACACAACACATAGGCTTCCCTTCCACCCCTTCAGAGATCTGATTTTTAAACATTTCCCAGCATGTACTACTGGGTATTGGATGCTGCCTTGCTTAGCTCCGGAGACTAGAAGGCTTTATGCAGCACTAACTTCTGATGCCCATGGAGAGCAGTGCTTTTGGCAGGCTGTATGAGGGCTCCTGGCCTGTTAGGTGTGACCCAGGCTCTTCCCTTTTCCCAGGCCCTTCCATACTTTGACCGGCTAGACTATGTGTCCATGATGTGCAATGAACAGGCCTACTCACTGGCTGTGGAGAAGTTGCTCAATATCCAGCCTCCGCCCCGGGCTCAGTGGATCCGAGGTAAGCCCCTCACCTTCCCGTGGTCCTCCCCGGCCATTGCCCAGCTTAGGAGCATCGGACGCAAGCTTAGTATGCAGACCCCAGGCTCTGCCCACAACTGCTGTGTCAGCGTCGATTCTTGGCTCCTATGTCCTCTTCTTTTTTTTTTTAAGATTTTATTTATTTATTTGACAGAGAGAGACACAGTGAGAGAGGGAACACGAGCAGGGGGAGTGGGAGAGGGAGAAGCAGGCTTCCCGCCGAGCAGGGAGCCCGATGCGGGGTTTGATCCCAGGACCCTGGGACCATGACCTGAGCCGAAGGCAGACGCTTAACCACTGAGCCACCCCGGCGCCCCCCATCCTCCGTCTTCTTGTCTTCACCTGTCTACAGTGCTGTTTGGAGAAATCACGCGGCTTTTGAACCACATAATGGCTGTGACTACACATGCCCTGGACATTGGGGCCATGACCCCTTTCTTCTGGATGTTTGAAGAGAGGGAGAAGGTAAGAGAAGGGGGATAGGATAGGCAAGGGGTGCAAGAAGTGGAGAAGCTTCTTTTTTTTTTTTTTTAAAGATTTTATTTATTTATTTGAGAGAGAGAATGAGAGATAGAGAGCACAAGAGGGAGGAGGGTCAGAGGGAGAAGCAGACTCCCCGCGGAGCAGGGAGCCCGATGCGGGACTCGATCCCGGGACTCCAGGATCATGACCTGAGCCGAAGGCAGTCGCTTAACCAACTGAGCCACCCAGGCGCCCTTGGATTCTATTCTTAAGGAACTCTGTGAGGGGTTGGTCGGGCATCGGAAGGCAGGGGGCAGGGGAGTGGACCAGCATGTTGCTGGATTTGGGGCCCAGGACTTTGTCACTAATTCCCAGTGTGTCCTCTCAAGATGTTTGAATTCTATGAGCGCGTGTCCGGGGCTCGGATGCATGCTGCTTACGTCCGGCCAGGAGGTGTGCACCAGGTGAGCCAGCTCCCCTGCCTTCCCAAAACTTCCAGCCCACGCCTGTATCCTCCATGGCCACTGGAGGGCAGCGGTGGCCGATGGAAACGCTGACCCCGAAGCCATGGGGCAGGGAGGCTGAGCCCCGCTCACTGTCATTCTCCATTTGGCTCCTAGGACCTGCCCCTTGGGCTTCTGGATGACATTTATGAGTTTTCTAAGAACTTCTCTCTTCGGGTTGATGAGTTGGAAGAGGTAAGATAGGAGCCAGTGGGGAAAATCCCTCTTTTCCCCTCAAGAAAGGCTCGTGGGGTTTTAGTCCCTCGTAAAGAACCACAGAGGCATCTGAAGGGAGTTATAAAGAGCGTTCACGTCCAGTTTTCTTGATTAATAGATGCTGACCAACAATAGGATCTGGCGAAATCGGACAGTTGACATTGGGGTTGTGACAGCCAAAGACGCGCTTAACTATGGGTTTAGGTGAGAGAAATGTGATCTCTGCGCTCGGGTGGGGGGATTCCAGCCTAATACCTTGGCTTCAGGAAGGTGTGGCGCCGTCCATGCAGTGCTCTGAGATTAGATCCCGCGCCCAGAGTGTGTGTGTCTTGGGGGGCAGGGAGACCAAGGAAGAGGGTGCACCTCCATTCCTGGTTCATGGAAAGGGACCCTTGTTCCCGTCCCACTGCCCAGCGGCGTGATGCTCCGGGGCTCAGGCATCCAGTGGGACCTGCGGAAGACCCAGCCCTATGATGTTTACGACCAGGTGGACTTCGATGTTCCTATTGGCTCCCGGGGGGACTGCTACGATAGGTAAGGCCCAGATGTCTCAGCCCATTTCCAGCTGTTTTTCCCTGTCTGACTCTTCGCTTGGCTACTTTCTTTTTTTTTTTTTTTCTTTAAATTTTTTTATTGTTATGTTAATCCCCATACATTTACATCATTAGTTTTTGATGCAGTGTTCCATGATTCATTGTTTGTGCCTAACACCCAGTGCTCCACGCAGGATGTGCCCTCTTTAATACCCATCACCAGGCTAACCCATCAGGGAGCCCCCCCTCCCCTCTAGAACCCTCAGTTTGTTTCTCAGAGTCTATCGTCTCTAATGGTTCGTCTCCCCCTCCGACTTACTCCCCTTCATTCTTCCCTCATGGCTACTTTCTTTATTTCCGTATTTTCCAGCAGCTACTGGAGCTCTTGTGTCTATTAAACTAGGTTGTTTTTCAAAGCCATTTCTTTTGCCTTCTCTTATGTGTCATCTCTTAGATGGCACTAGTTCGGGCTGCAATTTAAAGCTGAGAAAGCTGAGGTGTAAAAGTTAGAGGTTGGCCTGGGATTATCCTGTTAGTGGTGGTTGAGACTAGAATCCTCCTGATCCAGTGCTCTTTCCACTGGATTCTAAGCTTCACATTCCATTCCTGTTTACTGACCCTGAGTAAGATTGGCTTCTGTTTTCTTTTCAAGCCAATTTGACCCTCCCCCGTCCTATAGTCCAGGAAGTGTCTAAGAGGGTAATTGAAGAGGGGACTACTACAGGCCATGGGCTGAGAAGATGAGGAGAGGACTTGGGCAGGGGCCAGCACCAGAACCAGAAGACTAGAGCTTTTACTTGGGCGGCCAAGCCAGGCAGAGATGCCACACTGGGAGGAAAGAGGGTGGTAACAAGTCAGCCAGCCCTCTGGGCCGGCCAAGGGCGTCGTCACGTCTGATGCTCTGAACCTGCCTCATCCCCTTCAGGTACCTGTGTCGGGTGGAGGAGATGCGCCAGTCCCTTCGAATCATCGCTCAGTGTCTGAACAAGATGCCTCCCGGGGAGATCAAGGTTGATGATGCCAAAGTGTCTCCCCCTAAGCGAGCAGAGATGAAGGTTGGCTCTGGCGAGAGGGGAGGGGGAGGGGCCGGCAGCCAGGGATGAGTGTCCTTGGGTTGCACCCTACTTCTCGTGTTTCCTCTTTGAAAGAATTCACTGTAGGAGTCTTAACCTCCCGTAGACTCCTCTTTTGCTCACAGTGTGGGTTTTAGTCTCCCCCAGGGGAAAGGTTATTTCCTGTGCTGCGGGAAGGCCTGGGAGACATTTGGATCTGGCTCACTGCTGCTCCCTTTCTCCTCTTTCCAGACTTCCATGGAGTCATTGATCCATCACTTCAAGTTGTACACGGAGGGCTACCAAGTCCCTCCGGGGGCCACATACACTGCCATTGAGGCTCCTAAGGTGAGGAGAGTCAGGAAAGGAAAAGGCAGCCCAGGGCCCGGGGGGGGCTGGAGACAGGTGCGCAGATAGAGGCTTGGGCATCAGCGAGAGAGGGCACACGCGGGTGAGTAGAGAGGCTTCATTGGTGGAGAAAAGTGTTCTTCCTGTTCACGGAGGCAGCCAACCTTCTTCCTCGGACAGGGAGAGTTTGGGGTGTACCTCGTGTCCGACGGCAGCAGCCGCCCTTACCGATGCAAGATCAAGGCTCCTGGTTTTGCCCACCTGGTAAGAAGCGACCCCCAGTGATTCTCACTCCCCTAAATGAATCCGTCATTAGTCACCTTGGGTGAGATTTTGATGAACTTTCCTTCCTCCTCGTCCCGCCCTGCTAATCTTGCCCAACACTGTTGCTGTCTCCGTCTCTCTAGGCTGGTTTGGACAAGATGTCGAAGGGACACATGCTGGCGGATGTTGTTGCCATCATAGGTACAAGGCCTGTTGTGTGGCAGAGATGCCGTAGACGAGGGAGTTTGGGACTCTAGCGGGGGCAGAAACCGAGCGCTTCCTGTTGAGCAGAGACTGTGGGCATGGACTCCGATCCTCAGTCCGCTGGCCACAGTCGTGAGTTCTGGATTTTCGATAACACCGCTTTTTTTCTCCTCCTGCTGATCTCTTAGGTACCCAAGATATTGTGTTTGGAGAAGTGGATCGATGAGCTGGGGAAAGCGTTTGATCCCCCTGCCTGTCTGCTTCCTCCTTGGAGCCTGGCCGTCCCTGGACAGGGCCTGTGTGTGTGTGCGCGCACCCCCGTGAACACTCAGCTGTCAGGCTTTCTGTGCATGTACTAGAAAAGGAGAAATTATAATAAATTAGCCGCCTTCCGGCCCCTCTGCCCAAACCTCTGATATGTTTTTCTCGGTATCTTACCGTCTTTGACTTTGTGGGAAAAGTTAAGAATGTGAATTAACCCTCCAGTTCTCCGTGAAACTCAGTTATCGCCAGTTTTTCCTGTTCATCGCCGCCCCCTTCTCTGACTCTTGGCCTGCCCACTTCTCCATTCCCCATTTCCTCCTTTCTCCTCGGTTCCCCCTGCCCAGACTTGGCTGCCTGCACAAATTGGTAAACCTCTCCAATCAAGACGGGGGCAAAATTCCATGGGGAAGGAGGGAAAGGGCTGCGGTGGGGTCTCAGGGACTCTGAAGGGACAGTTTATTCCAGCTGTATCTGAACATGGGGTGATGGCCGATTTAGCCTTTCTCCAGCACAGGCGTCGCCCGCCCGTCCCTCAGTGCCCGGGGCTTGGTCACTGAGGACTGAGGCATGAGAGCCCAGATCTGACTCCCTGAGTTGGCCCTTCCGGGAGCCGCCCGGGCTCTGGTGCAGGAAGGGGAAGGGGCCAAAGCTGGGGGAAGGCGGGGCAGGAAGGGGGGAACTCTGTGGTCAGGGAGCTGCTGAGCACAGCTGCGCAGTGGTGGCAAAGCGTCCGATCCCCGGCTCACGGCCCTTCAATCCCCCGGCCCAAGATGATTCCAGCAGTGGTCTTGCTCTTACTCCTTTTGGTTGAACGAGCAGGTGAGAGGGTGTGGTGAGGGCTCAGGAGCTGGGCCCCAGGGTGGGGATCGAGGGCATGCGTCTGAGGGCCGAGGCAGGGGCAGACCGGGAAAGGATGACAGGTGAGCGCAGGGCTCGGGTGGGCACCGAGACCTTGAGGCTGGTCCCTTCTGGTCCCCATCAGGGCACAAGAGTCCTAGTTCCTTCCTTTCATGTCTCCTTACTTTTTCAGGATTGGTCATGGGGAAGGCTTCAGTTTGGCAGGGGAGGGAATGGTTGTATGACACGAAAAGCTGGGGAGAAGCTCCTTTTCCCATGATCAGCGTTTCCTGTGTGGTGCCTTTGGGCTAGTCCACTGGGAGCTGATCTCTAGCTGGGTAGTAATATTCATAAAGCCCCTCTAGAAAGGCGGGAGCCTGTCCTTCGGCTTGGGAGCGAGGCAAGGATGGTCAAAGTAGACCTATTTTCTGCCTCTGTGGGTCATCGCCTGCCTGGGCCACTCTGCCAACAGCTGCTATGGGGGTGGGGCACAGCACTCAATGCCCAGTTCTAGAGGCCTGAGCACCAGCCAAGAAATGGAAGCAGACACGGGACAGTCTCAGCAGCCGAAGGCTCCAGTCCGTCACTCAATTTCTGAACTGTCACGTCTTGCTGGCTCTGGGCTGGCTGCGTGTGTGTGTGTGTGTGTGTGAGTGTGTGTGTGTTTTGATGAGGGTTACAGCTGGGGGCTGGGGAGGAGGGGTTTCGTGAAACTTCAGGGAAATGGGAAATTGAAAGAGACCGGCCGGGGAGTCCAGCAGCCCAGCTGTGAGGTGGAGGGAAGGATCCCGTTGGTGCCAGCCTGCTGTCACCAGATGAGGACAGAGCGGGGGCACCGAGGCAGAAAGGTTAGGACACGAGCTCTGAAAGCAGAAAGCCTGGATTTGAGCGCCAGCCTTGTCACTTAGCCCTCTGGCCCTAAAGGAGTTACTTAGCTTTTCGGAGTCTGCGTTTCATCCTTGGTAAAATGGCGATAATGATGTCATCCCCCCCAACCCCCCAGCCGGTAGTTTTTCGATTTATGCAATATTGTACAAAAGAGCGTCATGGCACGTGCCCGTGAGCCGTTCAGATAGGGACTGAGGGCTGACAGAGGCTGGTGCTCAGACCCTATTTGATTTTTTAAATTGCACAAAACTTCCTCTCTCTGTGGCCCAGAGTGAGTGAGTAACAGGGCAGAGTGCCCAGAGGCGGAATCCGGCTTGTGGTCATCCCCCCGGAGCCTGGGCAGAGACGCTCGCCCAGCCGTGCGGAGAGCCGTCGGGATCTATAAGGCCTAGGAAAGCAGATACCTGTTCTCCCCTTTTCAAGCCCCCTATAGCGGGCCGGAGAGTGATGAGCCTGAGGCTCAGATATGACCAATAACCGGGTAATTGCCTTCCCTCCCTCCCTCGGTTCACATCCTTCCTGTCCAGCCCTCAGCCACAGGTCACAGGACTTAGCAGAGACACTCCTGTGGTTTCTTCAGTGAAATTGTCACTGCATGGCCCTCACCCTACCCCTCTGGGCTGAGGTTTTGGGTCTTCGCCCAGTGAACACAAATAAGTCCCTTGAGGGCTGTGAAGCACTCAGTGGTGCCTGAGGGACTGACAGGGCGAAAACCAGAGGGCTTGGGGCCGCGGGGGGCCTGCCTCAGGGGGCTCCCTCTTCGGCTCTCAGCGCCCGTAAGCTCCATCAGAGCAGGCAGCAGAGCGCCCCCCACTTCCTGTCCCAGCCCAGCCCCAGGGTGAGGCAGAAGGGGGAAAGCTGAGAAAAATCGGCTCCAGGGAGGAAGAGCAAGTGTCTCTCCTGGGAGGCTCCCCACCAGGCCCTGTCCCACCTGCCGGTCCGGTCCTCGGAGCGCCGGACCTTGCCTGATTCTCCTGACGCCGCGGGCACCCTCTGTCCCCTCAGCCGCACTGGGAGAGCCTCAGCTCTGCTATATCCTGGACGCCATCCTGTTTCTGTACGGTATCGTCCTCACCCTGCTCTACTGCAGACTTAAGGTGAGGCTAGGGGAGGGGCTGGCGGGAGGCCTGGGAGGGCCCGGCTTGGCTTTGAGGAGAGGGAGTAACAGGGGTCCCCCGCAAAGTTGGGAGGGATGGGGCTGGGCCGCTCACTTCGCCTTTACTGATTACCTTTCCCCCGGCTCCAGATCCAGGTGCGGAAGGCAGCTATAGCCAGCTACGAGGTATGGCCCCTGCTGCGCCTGGGTGTCAAGGCTACAGACGCCAAGCTTCCCAGGTCCCCTCCCACTTCCCCCTACCCACCCCGCCGCCTAGCCAAGTCACAAGTAAAATACTCAGCCGGTGACAAGGGAGAGTGGACAGTGACACTGAGTGCGTGAGAGTCGTACGCGGTGTGTGTGTGCGCGCATCTGCAGCCACGCGGGCAAACGGACGTTCATGCCCCGGAGCCCCCACGTGCCCTCTAGCCCAAGCGGCCAGCCAGCCCTGGCCACATACCTCACCAGGTGGGGAGGAAGAGGCCGAGGGACCCCGCAGGAGGCGTGGGTGTCTAACGCCTTGTCCCTTTTGCCTCCGCAGAAATCAGATGGCATTTACACGGTGAGTGAACCTGCCCTCCCCCCCACCCCCAGTCCTGGGAAGTCAGCAGAAGAGGGTGGGGTTTTGTGTGATCTTTGGAAGACATGGGGGTCTATGGGGGTGGGTGGGAGCCCTGTGATGGGCTCAAGCTCCTGACCATCCTCTGACCTCCACCTCCAGGGCCTGAGCACCCGGAACCAGGAGACTTATGAGACCCTAAAGCATGAGAAACCAGCCCAGTAACTTTAGAACAGATGCCCTTGGCCACCTCCTTCCCCTCCTGGTTCTCCTCCTGGCCCTCAGGTCGGCGTCTCCTTTGCCTCCCGTTAAAGCCAGCTGGCCACCTCTTTAATGATGCTATGTCCCCCATTACTGCGCACCCAGTGGTTCTTCCTCCCCACCGAAGACCTCCGTTCAGATGCTAATCATTAATGTTTATATTCTAATCTCACCGCCTTTCCCCACCCTTCTCTTTCCCGTCTCCCACTCCCACTCAACAATGGAAAGAGAGTACCGCCAATAAAGCCGCCGCAGCCTGGACTCTATTCATTTACCATATATTTATTCAGGCCCTACTAGGCGCTGGGCTGGGGACCGAAGATGCCGTCTTGAGTAACCAGCCCCCGACCGCACAGAGCTCACAGTCTGGTAGACGTTGGGGCGAGGTTGCTCGCTTGAGGGGTGAAAGCTGACCGTGGCTGGGGCAGGGATGAGACCCTCGGCCCCAGGTCCGCTGGCATGGAGCTGGAACAGGGAGGGAGGTGTCGGGAGTCTAGGCACGTTCAGAAACATCGGAACCTAAGAAATGACATCTGCACCCAGCTTGGCTTTCCGTGTCCGGCAACTGAACCAAGGTTGGGTCGTGGAGTAGCCTGGCTGTGCAAACCCAAACAGTCACCAGTCCGGATCAGAGTGAGCTTCAGGGAGCAGCGTGGGGACAGCTCCCCACACGCACGCATCTGGGCATTAGCATAGCTGGGAAGCCAAACATGCAGAGCGGATGGCCTGATGAAGCCTCGTGTGACACCCCTGATGGAAAGGTTTATGGGAACAGTGAGTTTCAGTGGGTTCTGGGGCAAGAGGGACCTTAGAGGGCCAGGTAAGTGTTGGAGGTGGGTAAGGCAAAGGGGAGCAATGGGGTCTAGATGGGAGGTCAGTTTCTCCGAGTGCCGGGGTGGGTGGCTAAGGAATCGCTGTGGTCCGGTCCGTGCTGGTCCTGTTTCCGGCTCCGCCAGGAGGCAGCATTTCCTGTAGTATCTGCATCCCATCAGATGCCGCAGGTCCTACCTCCGACCCAGCAGCCCGGGCAGAATGGGTTTTGGGTCCCTGGGCCAACCCCTGGCCCCACCCGTGCTGGGTAAGACTCAGCACTGCACAGCGACTTACACCGTCCACTATGGTTCCCGGCTCTCTTGCACTGTTGGATCTGCTCACTGACCCCGGGAGGAAGATCCAGCTCTTTGAAGTTAATTAACCTGTCCAAGGGCATCTTGCAAGCGACAGACTGAGCTCTCTTTGTCCCCACACATCTTGCCGCGTAAGACAAAAACAGAAACTAGGGAAGAAACTTGTCACCATGAGTGGTGAGGGCCCTGAAGGCCAGACTGAAGACTGATGAATACACGGAAGGAATTGGAGCCATGTCTGGTGTCTGGGAAGCAGTGATTTCAGATGAGCTATGAGAAATCAGCCAGGGAGGTAACAGCTTTAAGTGTGAAGTGGGAACAAACTTTTATTGGAAGATGCCTCCTCTTCCTTGAGCTCCACTTTGGTATTGTGAGTCTCCCACATCGGCCCAGCCTGATTTCCACTCCATTTTGATTTAATCCAGGAGACCTGCCTGGCCCCTAGCTGGCCTCATGTCTACGAGTTCCAGATCTGACCACCCGGCCAGTTCTGTGACTAGCACCCAGATAATAGGGGGAGAGGTTTGGAATGGGTGTTCCCCAGAAAGGGGGTCTAGGTGAGAGATTTTATTTTATTTTATTTTTTAAAGATTTATTTATTTGAGAGAGCGAGAATGAGAGAGAGAGAGAGTACATGAGAGGGGGGAGGGCCAGAGGGAGAAGCAGGCTCCTCGCCGAGCAGGGAGCCCGATGCAGGACTTGATCCCAGGACTCCGGGATCATGACCTGAGCCGAAGGCAGTTGCTTAACCAACTGAGCCACCCAGGCGCCCTAGGTGAGAGATTTTAAATGGAAGGAGGGTTTGAGCACTTTTGGGGAAGAAGAATGAATCTGTATCTTTTCTGTAGGATGGGGGGAAGCATGGTATTTCCTTGGCTCAGAAGGGAAGCCAGGGTCTCGGCTGACACCTCTGCGTTCATTTATGGGAAGCCTTCTCCACTTCATAGAAGGATCAAGAGGAAGTTCTGGGGGAGGGGGTACCCTCCTTTCCTGTGACCTCCAGTAGTCTAGGGACTCAGTTTGTGAAACTTCCCTGCCGTTCACTGTCCCTTGTGCAGTGCAGAGACTAAGCCTCTGCTGCAGAGCAGATCCCAGGCTGGGGGAAAATGTGTCGGGCATGGAGAAGAATCACAGACACCACTTCCCCGTTGTTTCCACCATCTGTCTCTTCATCCCTCCCTCCACTCCTCACACCAAACCCCTCTCCTAGCAGGAGCAGGCCTCTCGGTCCTCCCCTCACCAATACCCCTACTTCTCCCAGTCCCCCAAAGCACCAGGCTCACACCTGACTCCTTCAATATTTATTGTAGAAAACAAGGAGCATGTTGGGAGAGGGCTCCAGACCTGGCCAGTGGGTGTTCTAGGGGCCAGCAGGGGATGGAAGACAATGGTCTGGATGCCTCACTGGGTGGCAGGCTGTGTTCTGAGGTCCATGAAATTGCTCAAGAAGTTGATCAGATCAGTTCCGGCCTTCTTGACCAGGGGCGTTAGCTGCTCCTGTGTCTTCTCAAAGTAAGCCCTGTATATTCAAAGGATTAGAGGTCAGTTCGAGAGACCGTAGGCGCTGCCAGGGGCCTCGTTGCTCGTGGGAGGTGAGACCCAGCTCCCCAAACTCTAGGGCCTGGTCCATCCTGGCATGGCAATGCTCCCAGGAGGGGAGGCAAGCCCTCCATTGAGTAGAGGAACAGATTCTAGAGAGAGAAATTCAAAGCCTAGTTCCTGCTGGCCCTATCTGTCCAAGAGGTCCCTGGGATCTACAAGGTGGTGAAGGAATTATTCTCTCCAACTTAAACGTCACCCTCTCTAACTCTCACCCTTGAGCTCCATCTTCTGTGCAACCTCCCATCTTCTCTTCTCTCTCTCTATAGCTCCCTGGTTCCTGAACCCCTTTCTTTCTTTCTTCTCTTCTCCTTTCTTTTTTCAAAGATTTTATTTTTTTTTTTTTAAAGATTTTATTTTTTTGAGAGAGAGAGAATGAGAGACAGAGAGCACAAGAGGGAAGAGGGTCAGAGGGAGAAGCAGACTCCCTGCTGAGCAGGGAGCCCGATGCGGGACTCGATCCCGGGACTCCAGGGTCATGGCCTGAGCCGAAGGCAGTCGCCTAACCAACTGAGCCACCCAGGCGCCCCAAAGATTTTATTTTTAAGTAATCTCTATACCCAATGTGGGGCCTGAACTCACAACGTGGAGATCAAGAGTTGCATGCTCCATTGACTGAGCCAGCCGGGTGCGCCCCCTGAGCCCCTTTCACTGAGACTTACTTGGCCTGGGCCTGAAGCTCTGGGCCCTTGGCCTTCTCCACCAGGTCCTTGCCATAGTCGGTCATGGTCTGGAAGTACTGAGAGACCAGGCTCTGCAGATTCGGCTCCTCCGCCTGTCTCCGAACAAAAGCCCCTGCACACACACACACACACACACACACACACACACACACACACACCCCTCGTCAGCTGGGTCCCCAGCAATGAGTCCTGGCCTCCTGCCATACCTCTGTCAGTAGCCAGCCCCCTCTCTCAGCCCCCTCCCCAAACAGGTACCCAGCTCCAGGTCTTTGGATGAGCTTTCTGAGCTTTAGAGAGGGAGAGATCTTTCTTTGGAGCACTCTGTCATGGGAACACAGACAGATGTGTAGCTAGGACCCCTAAGGGCACCTTCTCCTTCCTGGGACCCCTCTCCATATCACACTCACCTTCCAGGCTACAGACGGCAAGGAGAAGCACAGCCAAGGCAAGCAGTTTCATGGTGGTAACAGTGGGGATGGTGGCCTGGAAACAGTTGGGGGTGTGGGAGGAATGAGCTTCAGCCCCACCCCAGAGACCTCTACCTAGGTGCCCACTCCACCCTGGTTCCCTCCCTTCCCACCATTAAAACCTGGCCCGCTCTGGATCCTGGCCACACCGCTCGCTCCCTTACCCTACCTGGTTGGCGGCTCTGCCCTTGCTGTCTGTGTCTGGCCTGGCTGGGGAGACGGGAGCTATATACATTTCTGCTTCCCCACCCCCCTGTCAGGTGATAAGGACTGTGGAAGAGCCCCATTGGGGCAGGGGCCACGTTGGAGTAAACAAGTGGGGGAAATGGGGGAGGAGAGGACAAGCATGTGGGGGATCATGGTGATGAGGTGGGAGGCGGGGGGTGCAGGTCTTAGTGGAGGCCAAGGGGGTATACTTCAGGCTTATTCAACTTTCATTCTTTTGGGGTCTGGGGCTAGCTGTCTTTGGATTTGAATGCTGCAGGAAGCAGGATTCCTAGTTTTCTTCCAGAAAGCCCTGACATATAAGCCCTCAGCCCTTGGTAACTTTGTCCCACTGTGGCTAGATTTTGTCTCCCCAGCCCTATCCCCTTCACTGCAGCTTGGTAGAGAGGTATTGGGGAACAGAAGAAAGGGGAAAGGAGTTGAAATCAGGAGCAGGGGAATGAGGATTAGGAGAATAAGGGTTAGGGCCAGAGGGCAGGTGTGATTGAATCTGTCCTGTTTTCAGTTAATGTGTAATGAGATGAGGGAGAAAACATGAAAGCCCAGAATGACCCTCCTGAGGGCTGATAAATGAGTACACCCTACCCCCAATAAAACAAATTCAGAAAGGAGCCCCTGCCTTCCCCTTCCCAAATGGTGGGCTCTGGCAAGAAAGGAAGTGAATGAGAGTCTTCTACCAAGGATAAAGGTTGAAGTTCCCTGGTCACTGGATTACCTTATCATTCTAAGGTGATGGTCACCCAATATGAGTCAGCAGGGGCCAGAGCAACCCTCTGACCAAGGCTCCAGCCCCTGTGCCAGCCCTAATTGTGAGGGAGGACAAAGGTACATTCCCCAAGCCCAAGGCATTTGGGTGAAATCAGCTAAATAGATATCAGAAGCATTTGTATCTTTTGCCCTTTTGCCCTCAAAGTGTACACAGAGCATTCTTGAGAGATGGAGATGGAGGTGTGAGGGCTAGTGAGGGAAGTGACCGGGGCCTTAAAAAAGCCTTACTCCATCTACAATTATTCCTCTGTAGAGTGCTTAGTACTTGACTGTCCCTGGCTCTGGAGTGGAGTGCATTTGGGGGCCAGAGCCCGTATTCCTTGATTTTATCTGCCAACTATACCTGGGCAATGAGGGAAGGGTTAGCCGATAGGGGGCAGTTGCTTCAGGGAATCATTCTGCTAGAACTAAGGCTGCGACCCCTGCTCCTCTACCCCAAACTCTCACCCAGTCCCATTCCACCAAGAGAACTACAAGGTGAACTTTGAGAGGTGTAAACCTCCGTGTCTCCATAGGGGGAGCGGTACTTTCGAGTAGTACTCATCTGGAGGTGTGTACTGTGTTCTGTGACGTACTATGGGGGGCTGTGAGGAGTCCCTAAGGGGCTCGAAGTAGGGGGCACCTGGGAGCCATATGAACCAGGGTTCGAATGCAGTATTCACGATCATTCCCTCTGCCACCCTTCACAAAACGGAAGCCTCCAGGCTGTGCGGCGAAAGGAGTTTCAGTGGCCCAACCTCCAAGATGCTCCCTCTGGTGTCTAGTACATTCACAGCGTTTTCCGACCTTGTTGAGGCCGGGGGATCTAAGGCCATCTACTTGAGTTAAGTCTGAGGAGCTACCAATCAAGTCCCGCCCACCTCTGCAGTGCCTGGGTTGGAGGTCTCTTGGACCTGACTCTGCCTCTCCTTTGCTTCCTCCTCTCCCATTGGTCCCTGGGAGAAGGAGGCAGCTTTTTTTTTTTTTTTAAATCGATTGGGCGGGGCCCAATCAAGGGAGGGTCGGGTCTTTGATGTCTTTTTTGCCCGATTCCAAGATGGCGCTCATGACCACGCTGATAATGCAGCGTGAAGCCGCAGACCTGCCATCACTCAAGATGGCTGCCCCCATCAAGATGACCGGGGTGTGCCGGGGGAAGAGGGGCAGCATGATAATCTGAGACGGTAAGGGCTACTGCTTCATTCCAAGCCTCCCCTTGGGGCCTAGGAATGGAGAGCAGAAAGACTGGGAAGCTGGGTGAGGTCTGTGATGGGAACTAGGATTAGAGAATGGGGGAGGGGACGGGGTGACAGGTGGGGTGAAGAATCAAAGACGGGACGGGAGTGTGCCTGGGGTTCAATCTCTCCACCGGTACCCTCTCCCCACTCTTCCTGTTCCAGGTCTAGCATCGGACCATGTGGAAGTTTCTGGGACGGGGGAGTCCGATGATGGGGGGTGGGACCCGTGGCGGGGAGAGGGAGCAATAGCGTCCTTTCTCAGGCTAACCCCGGCCCCTCCCCTGTTCTCTGGACTGAAATGGGGAACACACTGGGCCTGGCACCGATGGGGGCTTTGCCCCGCCGGAGTCCCCGTCGAGAGGAACCTCTGCCCAACCCTGGGAGCTTCGATGAGCTGCACCGGCTATGCAAAGGTGAGAACTTGGCATTTGGGTGTCTCACGTTGAAGGGGCAGAGGAGGGGAGGGTCTTGAATGCTGGGTGTCCCGTGATGGGAGCAGGAAAGGGGAGATTCCAGCTGGGCATCCAGGCTCAGGGAGGATCAGGTGCCCGAATGGAGTGGAACATTTCGCGGTTGGACTTGAAAGGAGGTCAGTGCCTCCAGAGTGCTTTCAATGGGATTGCAAGGGGACACTACTTCTTGGGGTAGGGGTTCCTTGTCTGTGCTTATATTCCTCCCCTCCCCCTCCCCTCCACCCCCTTCAGATGTGTTCCCAGCACAGATGGAGGGAGTGAAGCTCGTTGTCAACAAGGTTCTGAGCAGCCATTTCCAGGTGCTCCCACTTCTCTGGCCCTCCTTACGGTTCCTCCCTGCCTATCCCTGGATCCTCTCCTCCTTGCCTTTGTACTCAAGCCTTAACCAGGCTATGTGGGACAAATGAGGGAGGATGTGGGGCTCTCTTTACTTCCCTTGCCTGGGGGACTTGTTGCTTTTAGTTTTGGTGACCCTCTGTGTATGCTGGGATATTTGGGATTCTTATTAGGCCTTCTAGATGGGGAGAAGAGGAAGGGTGGAACGGGGATTGAAATGGACAGGAGTGCTTTCCTCCATGACTTCTCTTTCCTCAGGTGGCTCACACTGTGCATATGAGTGCCCTGGGCTTGCCAGGCTATCACCTCCATGCGGCCTATGCAGGGGACTGGCAACTTAGCCCCACCGAGGTGAGGACTCCTCACACCTGGGTCATCTCCCTTAAAGCCCAGCCGGGACTCGGGTCGAGAGGAGGAGGAAATGAGTGCGTTATGGGGAAGAATGTACAGGGCACCTGCTTCTCTGTGTTTCCTCTGAATGGGAGAGAGTGGGGGAAATATTTGTGTGATGAGCCGGAGTTTGTCTCTGTGGCTCCACTAGGGGGCGCTGGGTACTGTTAAGAAATCCTGGCTGGTTGGACGGAAGCTGAGTGGTGCCCCCAGCTCAGTCTTACTGTGTACGCTCTTCAACAGGTGTTCCCCACTGTGGTAGGGGATATGGACAGCAGTGGCAGCCTCAACGCCCAGGTCCTGCTCCTCTTGGCAGAGCGGCTCCGAGCCAAGGCTGTCTTCCAGGTGACCCATGGTTCCTGCCTCTGTCCTGAAGCATTTCCTCTTTCCCCATGAGTGTCCTGCTCAGGGGGGGCTCCAGGGAGAGGAGCAGGGCAGGAGTGATCGTCCGGGCGGGGAGCGGGGGGGCTTTACTCCTTGTTCTCCCTACCCAGACGCAGCAGGCCAAGTTCCTGACGTGGCAGTTTGATGGCGAGTACCGAGGAGATGACTGTACAGCCACTCTGACCCTGGGGAATCCCGACCTGATTGGGGAATCGGGTGAGGAACTGGGGCGGGGTGCTTTGTATCTTGGCTGCCCGCTTGCTGATGTTGCCTCTGCCTTCTCATCGTCTGTACAGTTGAGGGATTAGAAACTTCTTGGGCAGGCTGGGGTGGGGGAGCAGGCCTGGATGCCGTCCCTGGGACCGACTCCGTGTCTCCCCACTATCCCACAGTGATCATGGTGGCTCACTTCCTGCAGAGCCTCACCCATCGGCTGGTGCTGGGAGGAGAGCTAGTTTATCACCGGCGGCCAGGCGAAGAGGGCGCCATCTTGACACTGGCTGGGAAGTACTCGGGTACGGGGTGAGGAGGAATCGTGACAGGGAGGGGAGATTCTGAACTCGGTGAGGGTTGCTGGCCTGTGTCCTGCTACAGTAACGCTCCTTGTCTCCTGCATTTTGGTTTTTACAGCGGTACACTGGGTAGCTACATTGAATGTGGGATCAGGTGGGGCCCATGCAAGTTATTACCACAGGGCAAACGAACAGGTGAGACTACCGATGCCGTCCCCCGCCCCAGCAAGTCAGTGGTGAACTTGTGCCCCTGCACACCTCCAAAGGCCCCGCTGCCCTGCGGTTCTTCCCACCCACACGGCACAGATGTTTCACGCATGCCTCCGTTTCACTGACCACCCCCTCCCCGTCAGGACTCCTCTGGTCCTCACTGACACGGATCCTTCTCCCATCCTTGCCCATGGTTCTCAGGTCCAGGTTGGAGTGGAATTTGAGGCCAACACAAGGCTACAAGACACAACCTTCTCCTTTGGTTACCACCTGACTCTGCCCCAGGCCAACATGGTGTTTAGAGGTAAGGGTTATGAAGATGGCGTTTGGAGGTACTGAGGGACTGGGCGGACAGAGGGAGGAGGCAAGCTTCCTTCTGACCTTGCTTCTGACCCCTGTCTCCGAGCCTGGGAAATAACCTCGTGTGTATCCTGTTCCCCAACAGGCTTGGTGGACAGTAACTGGTGTGTGGGTGCTGTGCTGGAGAAGAAGATGCCCCCCTTACCTGTCACCCTAGCCCTTGGAGCCTTCCTCAATCACTGGCGCAACAGATTCCACTGTGGCTTCAGCATCACTGTGGGCTGAGGGGGTCCCAGAGCCAGCCCCCACAGACGCTGGAACCTCCAAGTCAGGTGCCCTAGGGCCAGAGACTAGGCCCCCTCTCCAGAGCCCACCTTGCC